AAGCACGCCAATAACCGTTTTTCTTCTTGCACTCGCGTTGTGAGCACAACCGAAAAAGCTTATACTCTCTCGCTCTCGCTCTAAGCAAAAGACTCTTGCTGTCTTCATTTATGTATGTTTTTTGTTGCTTGCGCCTTTTGTTGAGCTCTTTGTCGCGCAACCGAAATTGGATGTCACCGAAAAGGCGCCAGATCTCCTGTAACTCCGTGTAAGTTACTCCCGACCGAACTTCGGCAAACATTTTCGCCTTACCGGACCCACTAAGCCAAGGGGGTCGCGAAACCATTTAAAGCATGGCAGAACGCCAATAAGGTTTCTAAGCGGGCTGAAGAACAAAAAAGTAAAGCAGAATCTTATCGGAGGAAGTTCCCAAGACAATCGTATTTTTTCTAAAAGTTGCAGCCGTCATAAAAGGATAAAATAGGCTACCGATCGTCCTAAGGAACGACAGACACGATACGATAGGAATATTGAAGCACTGTAAACTCAAAGTTATTGATAGAAGCAGTGAATTTTTACCAAGCGCTCACATCCTTCTCCTCGGGATTACTACCAGGAATGAGATTTTAGGCACCAATGTCATCACCAGGCGTGAGACAGTTTCAGTTAGATGACTGGGCTAGCCATTAAGAAATCATTCAAAGCAACCCATAATGCAGTTTCTAGAATAATACAGCTCCCATTACCCAATCAATTCGCTGAGATCGGTAAAAGAAAGGATCCGTGAGCTGGACAATAACGGTCTTTAGGCGACGAACTTAAAAAACCGGGGGAAAAGTTGATTACGTAAAATGCGGGGAGGAAGAATCAGAAATCAAAAATGGCTAGCTGTCTGGATTAAAAGGACTGTAAAGGACCCACGTCGTCCTATCATTGGGTTTGGAGCGTCGAAAGTAGTTAGAAAATTCTTCTTTCCAATGAACAGCGTCTCTGCTCGAGGATGGTTGCAATGGACCTGCATTTGCTTCCGCTTGCACCGAGTGGCTTCATCTACCTTCTGCAACAGCACTTGTATTACAATCCAATGGCAATCTGCACAACTTCCCATGCTAGCCAAGGCCCGCATATGTGAATTAGATTTGTCTCGCGAATCCTCGTCGCCGATATGCATTCCACGGGCGAAAGTATTTTATTTACATAAGCGTGAAAGATCAACGTCATAGTTCTTGTCCGTCAGACAGAAGACAGTTTCAGTGGCAGCAAGGCCTGGAAGCTGTCTGACAAACGACGCATAAAAATTGAGAGCTGAAGTAGCGTTAACTAGTTCTAGTGCCCATAAAATCAATTGGATCGCTGAATGACCTTTTTGGCCAGTCTAAAAAGTGCTCGTTCCTGAGTTCCGTAACATCCAACTCAGCTCAATTTTTGTGGTTCTTTAAGTCTGCAACGAACTTAAAAATCTGGTCATTGTCAATTGCGACAGACGAGGAATCAGTAATAAAAAATGGGTAGCTACCTGGATTAAAGAACAATGCCTTTCAACTAACCAAGCCGGACGTTCTGCATTGCTTTCGGAAACGTACTACACTGCATTCAAAAACGACAGCAAGTATTTAAAATCCTTAAAAAGTACTACAGAACCTTGGCTCAAAAAGAGCTTTCTTTCAAAAGATCCGGACTAGGAAAATGTATATATTTTAATTTTATTTTTATTCACTCATAATTGCTCTAGATCATAGGTGCCACCTCCCATTAATATCGTATGCTAATATGCATTGCTTTCATATGGGAAATGCAGAGTCATACACATGTGTAGTCCCAGCATAGGAAAAGGGCAATTAAAATAACAACTTTTCGTGTTTTCCCTATTCTCCTTAATCATGTTAATTCGAATGCACTTTGTTACCGGATTGCCAAAAACTCTTTAATACAAGAAAAAAGTGGTTTTTGAATTACTTCTTTGCAGAAACTTCCAAAAATTAATACAAATATTTACAATTTTTTTTTATTGTTTTTTTTTTATTTTTGATTTATTTTTTTTATTGGAATTGGATTTTTCTTAACTCCTTGTGAATTTTATACCCTTACCCTAGACAAGGGTCTATCTCAGTGTGGGGCATACTCTAATTTTCCTTAGCACGCGTGCATAGGGTAGGAAATCCTGCCGCAGCGCTGCCGGCACACTGACAGTATGAGCACTTTCAAATTTATTTAGAAGCTCTCTCATTTGCTCTCATTTTGACTCATTTGACAGCACAAACTTAAAAATCTAAATGTTTTCACTGAGAAAAATGTTCTCAGAAACAGGGCTTGAAAAAGTTTTCTCCATAGAAAATATAGACGGGGAAGCGTAGTTTTTCATTTTTTTAATAACTGTTGCTAGCAAAGCTAAATAAAATACACTATTTTAGAGCCCATTCCAACTTTTTAATTAACGAAAAATGAAATAAAATCTACGTTTTTTTCGCTCAGTGAATGCTCTGCTCCCATTGTTTTTCTCTGCTACGCATACACTCAAATTTTAAACATGTGTGCGTTTTGCCCCCTACTGGTCTATGTTGAGGTGAAAGGGCTCCCACCCAGCTTTTGGATATAGGCTACCAGTTAAGTAGGCTGCTAGGGAATTGTCGTTTAGATCTGTTGGGTATTTAAGTATGGCGGCTCCAAAGTGATGAGGCATCACACTGGAGCGGCGAATAATCTCCAGGTTTCGGATGAAACGTCCCTTCCTCGCCGAATCGTTTCAGTTGGCGCGCAAATCGCTCCCAAGCCGTACGTTCAGCATTGGCTCGGAAAACAATCGCAGTCAGTTCCGGACGGTGCTTTTAGAATTCTGCAAATTGTTCTGATTAATGAACAAAGTTATTCCGCAGAGCTTCATATATGGAGTGTCTGTCTACTTAGATAATCTGCAGATGATCTCAAAAACCTTTGAATATAATTGCGCATTAGTTACGTAGGTTGAAAGAAATTTACGAGAGGCGAGCTCGACAGTGGGATTGCTAAGTGAGAATCGGATCAATGTAGTTCCAGAAGAATGACAAAGAAGTGGTTTTATGTATGCGCAAGCATATATTAAATTTATCTAAGTATTAAAATAGTGAGGAACAGGAGTAGCAAATAGTACAGGGGCTGATTAATATGACGGGGAATTGATTAATTGCCCGTGACTGCTGCTCGATTTGCACGGTCTCACGATTGAATAATACAGTCGCATACATAACACCCCTTAACACCCAGACGGATCGCAGAACTGCGAGTGGCGAAGGTCACGGGCCGATCACGGGCAGTCCTCCAGTCTCAGGCGAGTGCTGTGGCCCAGCTGGAGTTACGGATCCGCCAGCTACCGCTACAGCTGGGGTTAGAGGGGTACATCAAGTTGGTGATGGTGTCTCCTCTAGAGTTGGCTGACTGTTCGGTCATCCTCAAGACACACCCAATAGAAAATCGGTCCCTTTCGATTCGAGACGTGGCCACTTGGGACCGCTTGCATAGTTTCAAACCCAAACCGGGGTGCCTGTAACAAAAGACAAAAGAGTTTGAGCCTCGCAGATCTTACCATCCATTTCGCCTGGACTTAATTTGTCAAAGAATGCGGATCGGATGTGACAGAGACGATTGTTTTTCGTAAGCAACTTAAACTCCTCGCAGGTGAAAGCAGTTCCATTGTTTGACATGATTTCTTCCGGAATGCCATGGGTAGCGAAAAGTTGCCGAATAAAGGTGATTGCAGCTAACGCGAATGACGATTTTACGGGGATAACATTAAGCCACTTCGTAAAGGAATCGACGACTAAAACAAACTTGTTCCTTTGGAACGGTCCGGCAAAGTCAATGTGCATGCGGGACCATGGTTTCTTGGCAGACTCCCAATGATGTACTTCCGATCGAGGGAGGGAATTTATCGCATGCTTGCACGTTGAACATTGACTCACCACCTTTTCGGTATCTGCATCCACAACGGGCCACCAGACGTAACTGCGGGCTAAGGCCTTCATTCTAACGGTTCCCGGATGGTGTGCGGGTAACGCAGAGAGAATTCGATGCCTGTCCATAAAGGGAATTACTGCGCGATTACCCCAAAATAATATTCTTTGGTTACTGGTGAGTTTGTTTCGCCGAAAGAAGAAAGGTAAATGTCGTCATGACACTGAACTTTAGCACTACTCCATCCCCTTAACACCCAGTTGAGCACCTTCCTGAGGCTGCACTCTACCGCTTCTCTGTCGATCTGCGCCTAGCTTCTCTCAGCCTTTGACAGCGTATGAGAGTAAAACGCAATCGGTTTCTCTGTCCCGTCTTCCATTTCGTGGCTAAGTACTGCTCCTAACCCGCATGGTGACGCATTGCAAGCTAAGATCAGTGGGCGGTCCGGAGGTGATGATATTCCGAATTGTACTTTTTACCATAAATGCTCCTTTGTAAGTAGCTGTTGTTTGCATCAAAGCTGACTCTTTGTCTACTACCAATTGTTGTTACGCCTGGGCCAAATCTTTTTTTTGAAAAACTTTTGATTAAATTTTAAGCTTTAAAGGTAGTTAAATTTTGGGTGGAACCGAAAACCGGGATGAGAACCGGGTATAATATAGTCGGGAAACCCCACTACAGCCATTCTTTCTTGTTTTTATTTAGACAGCACAAAGAATACACATATGTAACATAAAACAAGAAAAAACCTTGGTCTTCAAAATATATTTTTTTATTATTATTAAATGTTTGTGTCGTGTGGAATTGTACAGTACCCTAAGTTAACAAAAGTTTTCCGCAAATTTCGTCAGCTGTTTAATAACCAGACTTTGAAACCCGATAAAAATTGCATGGTTGCATTTTAAGTAAATATATGTATTGATGCTTTTTACATAAAGAATCTAAAATAAATATTTTAAATAAAAATTATTATTTGTTTCTTTAAACATTAAAAATGTCAGTATAATATTCAACAAAAACTTTTAACATGAAAAATTACAGACAAGATTAAGTCTCCTATTTCCTCAGTCAATCACCACACCAATACACATACTACGCAGTATATTGAATATTTTTTTTTTCTGCTATTACAGATTTTAGTAAAAGAAAGATTAATATATAAAATCTTTATAAATATGAAGCTGATAATGGAAATTTTACGACTGTTTTTAAGAAAGCAATCGTCAGGAGAAACTTTTAGAGCATGGATCTTATCCGCACTAATGGTACATGGAGCAGTAGCAGGAAATCCAGACGCCAAGCGGCTCTATGATGACCTATTGAGTAATTATAATAAATTGGTTCGACCTGTAGTCAATACTACGGACGTCCTTAAAGTTTGCATAAAGTTAAAACTTTCTCAGCTCATTGATGTGGTAAGTTTTAAGCCATACAGCTAAATTAATAAGAAACATAAATTTAAGTTTAACTGTTATATATTTAAATCCGGTACTCGTAAAGTACAGGGGCATAGTGTTTTCGTGTGAATCGATTTATTAAAGAATAATCCCTATCCCCAAATTTATATGTACGAGAAGAACACAAGAAAGCTAACTTTGAGCGGAGCCAAAGTTGCTATACCCTTGTAGTTAAGATTGGACATATATCGAAAACATCGGATATAGCTGGCCGATCCTTATAAGAATTTAATAATAAAAAAAACTAATTAGAATATAAAATGTAAAAAAAGTCCGAAGTTTCTAAGTAGCTACAAAAATACCAAAGTTTTTATTATACCTAATACCATTTCCGATCTTAAGTCGGCCGATCCTTATGAAATTTGGTACGTTGTATTATTTTGCCAAACATAAAATCCATAGGAAATTCCAACTCTCTAACTATAAAAGCACCAGCTATGGCGTTTCGGATAAATCAGTTATATGACAGATATAGGACATAGTCGGCCGATCCGACTTATAGTTGTCACTTTTATCAACTCAGGAGATGATCCTGATCAAGAAGATATATCATTTATAGGGTACAAAATGTCTCTTTTACTGCGTTTGCACTTTTTTGACCAAAAATATATTATACTCTCTGCTAGTTTATAAAAAAAACCCAGACTAGGTAAAAAAAAAATTTTTAGTGAGAAAAAAGTCGTATGAAGGTCTAGGTAATCACAAATTATGAAAAATTCTAACTTGGCACATGTCTTTGTTATATTTTACATTTCTTGCACCTGCCAAATTAGAATTTTTTTTATTTATTATTTTTTATAACCGTACAAAAATTGTGCGTCCCCAAAATGTGAAGATATAAAAATGGCACTTCGTGCAGATTATATTTTGTGCAACTTATCCGATCTACCCAATTTTTGAAGAATCGGCTAGCTGTATCCTATAGCTGTCATATAACTCAACGATTTGAAATGGCCAACTTTGGTATTTTTGAAGACAGAAGCTTGGGACTTTTGGAAATACCATAAAACAAGAAAGGAAAGCTAACTTCGGACGGAACCGAAGTTTATTGGTATACCCTTGCAGTTAAAAGCGGATATATATCGCAAAAATTGAATATAGTTGATATTTGATCGATATAAAGTTATTCGATATAAACATCGATCCTTATGAGAATATCATAATAAAACCAATTCATTACAATAAAATATCTAAAAAAAAGTCTCAAGCTTCTATATTCAATAATGCCAAAGTTGGTCCATTTCCGATCGTTCAGTTATATGGCAGCTATAGGATATAGTCGGCCGATCCTTATGAAATTTGGTAGGTCGAGTTAACTGACCAAAAAGAGAATCTGTACTAAGTTCCAGCTTTCTATCTTCAAAAACACGAAAGTTGGGTCATTTCCGATCGTTCAGTTATATGGCTGGGGTTTTTTTTTATGAATGCATTACGATGCATCGCCCCAAAAGAAAAAAATCGGTGTAATCGATGTGGACATCGATTTTATCCCACCTTTAGTGCTGGACCATGCTTCCCTTAGCATAATTTAAAAGGACGGTGCTTTCTAACTCCTGTGATATGGTGTTTAGAGCTGGAAAACAATCGATGTTTGGGAATATCGATGTTTTCGAAAATTTTTAAGTAAACATCGATAAAACATCGATGTAAAAATAACAATTAAGTTTTTTATATGAGATCAGAGATTTTTATTTAGAGATTAAGGTTCTTATTTAAAAACATTAATTGATCAACAATGTTTGATTTTGAGGCGCATCTCCTGTCAGATATAATCTGTCCAGCTTTGCTGAACGCTCGCTTTGAAGCGCAGGAAGATGCTGGAACGCATAAGACTTTTTTAGACAGCATTGCTAAGGCTGTTGTGTCATTTGTATGCGCCTAAAAAAAAGATGAAATATTTTTGGTTATACGAAAACATAACATTACATTGATTATTACCATGTGATGTAATTTACATGTGATACCATGTAAATTTTACTACAAGTGATAAAAAATTTAATAAAATAAAGTTAAAAATAAAATTAACCAATTTTACTTAATGCACAGATACAATAAAAACAATAGATGTTTAGAAAATTTAAGAAACATCGATGGGATCGATAGTGCCATCGATTGTTTTCCAGCTCTAATGGTGTTGGCTCCAATAAAATTCGTAGCATTATCGCAATGGCACTTTCCTCAATGACCTTTGTGGTGGATCACTCACAAACTCTAAATTAACTGCCTTTCCTGTCTGTCTACTGGAAGATTTCCCATTATTTGTTAAATTAATTCCCTTGCCTGGGCTCTGCTGCACCGCAGTTGCGAAAAATGCTTCTTGTCATTGATGTTCCAATATTTTTGGGCACCACAATGCATGTTGTTATCATGTAGTTTTCTCATGATCATTTTAACAATTGTGGCATTTTAGGGAAGCAATACAGTATGTTTTGCATTAACTACGGTTTTTTAACTTTTTAGCTGTTTGCATTCTGCATTACATTAGGTTTAAAACTTTCGTTTGGCGTTCTGTCAGAATCAGAATCGGAGAATGTAACTCCTGTGATATGGTGTTAAGAGCTGGAAAACAATCGATGTTTGGGACCATCGATGTTTTCGAAGTTTTTCAACAATCCATTGCAATTTGTGGAAGTGTTGCTGTGCCGGCAGTGATATAACTTTCTTCCGGATTCGCACTTTGCGGCGCTATTTTCCTTAGTTTTTTCTCGCAGCAGGTCTGCATTTTGCAATTCATGCATTTTGCAAGGGCTTTGGTAAATTTAGGTGCATTTACGGATATATATGAAAATAGACTTCTTCCAAAATTCGATTCCCGTTGGTGTATTTGTTTAAAAAAATTCATGCCGCATTGCAAATCACAAAGCTCCATTTGAAGTTCCGGCGCTTGATCGTATATGCTGCATGTCATTAGGGAATACAAAATTAAAATTTTTCCTTTTATTATTTAAAAATCTTTAAACCTGTTTTCAATTTTATTTTTCAGATTTTTTACATTTGTTTTAAATTTTTTTCAAAGTATTAAAAGTAAAAAATTAAATTATTAAATTCAATGAATATTTTTTTAAATGAAACAATTTCTAAATTTAAATAAAAATATTAATTTTACTTACTTGTCAAGTAAGTAAGATATCAAATATCAGGTACCTCAAATAAACTAATCAAATCAAGGCAATTCAAGTGTGATGTTAAAAACGCTAAATTAATGTTAAATTCTTAAGATTTAATTTCACTGACCCTTTCAAGTTTTTCTATCTCCATAAACTCTGTCACTTCCTTTATTTAGTCAAAAAACCTTTTCAAGCATTTCCCCTTGCTGAGCCATCTGACTTTGCTGTACACTATTAAATCACCATATTCACTTTCACATTCCTAAAGAAACATTTTTAAATTCCTATGGATGAGCAAATTGTGCCCTGTTAACAATTTTAGTGACCAAATTCATTGTCCGTACAGGACCAGTCCATTTAACGCACAATGCCCCTTGGTGAAAAACGCACTACCGTTTTAAATAAGTTGACCCATAATACCGTCTTTCCCACCAAGCATTTCCGAGGCCCCATTTGTTCACACGGAAGCATATTTGCTAGACTCGGCTTTAAGGTCAATCCTTTCGATTATTGAAATGAAAATATCAACGTCTCCCATAATACCGTCTTTCCCACCAAGCATTTCCAAGGCCCCATTTGTTCACCCGGAAGCACATTTGCTAGACTCGGCTTTAAGGTCAATCCTTTCGATTATTGAAATGAAAATATCAACGTCTCTTCTTTTTTTCAAAAAGCAGAATTGGACTCGGAACGTCTTCATGAACATTAAAAAACCGGTCAAACATTCCTAACTAATATTAAATCCGAAATTACGCATGTTTCATCCAACGGTAACCAAAAAAATTATTAAGTAAAAAATAAAAAAAACATGTAAGTTTTTCTTTTTGGCAACGGTTTTAATCAAATCTGGCATTTTTTCCCACACTTTCCAAAACAAGCTAATATATCTTGAAAAACTCTTTTTATAAAGTTGTCCGAAAATCATCTGAAAATGTCTTTAGATTTTTATTACAATTTATTTACAATTTTAAAATTGTATTTTCTCTAAATTATTATTAATTATATTTAAACTATTTTCAAAATGCTCAATTAATAAAATGCCTTTTCAAATAAAATTTTCTATTTACACTTATTATTAAATGACAAAGATTATTTTCGGCAAAAAATAAATTAATGGCTCCGATGTTGACCATTCTGTCTGGGATGACAACGAAAAATGATTTTTTGCAGTGAAAAGTCTTGGGCAATACAAAAATGAAGTGCCTTCGTATTAGTACGTACAACGTAAAGACTATGCAATTGTTAAGCAAAAGGTTTGCGGTGTACGAAAAGTTGAAGTTTACGCTCGAAGAAAACTGGGAAATATTGAACATTTTCTTCCAAAGTGGAGAGTCTTCAACCAAAACTGCAAGAAAATAAAACGTATTAGTAGACATGTTTCATGTTGTCGAACTGGGTACTCATTGGGTATTTCCTTTTCGCAATGAAAGACAGGTTGAACTGGTTGGTCAGCTATAATGTGAAAGGGCAAAGGCTACTATGCACTTGGTAAACCCCCTATGAAGAGATTTTACGAGAACAGTGACTCTTGCTCTGGTCATCCTTGGTTGTCCACCAATGCTATCGATTCGAACGGTGAGCTAATCTAGGAAAAACTATTCAGATGCTTGGCGTTTTAACGACAACGTTTATGCTAGTCGTTCGGTGATAAATTTGATCTGCGATACTGAGCCCAGCAGTTCCCAAAGCTTCGCTGTCAGTCCGTTATGGATGCTTGGAAAAAGTTCCTCGGCTCTTTGTGTCATTTTTTATGCGAACTGATAGTTTTGTTTGAAAGTATGCCGACCTTTGTTTCCGGCTCCGTCCATCCTTCTCATAAGTCCAAATGCAACTAACAATCTGTTAAGAGGA